TTCCTGCTTACTCTGTTTTGGTCTTTGTGCTGTGAGAAGCACTCCTAAACAGGGCTCTTGAAAGGTGGGGTAGAGGTTTTGCATGGGGTAATGCAGGTCCTAGGCTGATGTATATGTGTCTGGAATGAAGTATAGCTTAGTCTCTTCATCTGCCCCTGCAGTTCCCAGGTCACAGAAGGGGGTCTTGTGCCTTTCCCTCATGCTGTCATCATCTGCAGTAGGCTTAATATTTCCAACTTTTGCTGTGCTCAGTAATAGGAGAAGGATGAGTTTGGCATTAGCAATGGCCTGAGGCTGTGCCTTGACATCCATACTGTTCAGGAATAGCTTACACTGATCCAGCTGCAAACTAACAAGTACCTCTTTCTTCTATGTATAAGTTAGAGTAATGCATGTTACAGCTTAGCAGGATGGATGGAAAGGCATTGATTTATTAAGGACTTAATTTATTGTACTGGGTAAGGAATCGTAATTACATCGTTGTTGATTATGCCAGAGTTGCAAAGTTCCTGATGTTGAAGGACATTGAAAGCTTTCACTTTCTGCTGGAGCTAGCATGCCCTGTAGGTGCTCAAGGTTTTATTCCAGTTTTGTTACTATTTTACCGGTAGTCCCACAGGAGTATATCATTCTGCTCTTCCATCAAGGTGAAAGTTGGCACTGAATTGCTATCAGTGTGATTAGTAAAACCATTAGTGCAAATATGGCTCAGATGTTTTAAATCATCAGATCCATGTCTTTATTACCAGGTTGATAATTTGTCAACCTTAATTGATTCATAAAGAACCTCATTGGATCGTCATTTGTTCTGGCCTCCTCAGAGGACAAATATGTTCTTGTCTGAAATTTTAGCATCTCTGGACTTGGAATGCTTGACTAATTGCATGGTATTTTATTGCTTACAGGGCTTGTTTTGGTTTTTGGTTTTTAACCCTTGGAATGTTTTAACTTTCAATTTTTGTTGCAGAAAATTGCAGTAAAGAAGTGCTTTATTTTCATTGTTAAAGGTTATTGAGTTTGATGATGGATCAGGATCAGTTCTGCGGATACAGCCCCTGCGTGTTCATCGAGATGAAGCTATCTATGAGTGCACAGCAACCAACAGTGTTGGGGAGATAAACACGAGTGCCAAATTAACAGTGTTAGAAGGTAAGTGGGCAATTTTTTCATGCCTTAGGTTGCAGAAGACGTTGCTTTGGCTTTGGTGCCTACATGCTCATGCGGTGCTTTTAAATGGTATGAGGATACTCTAGCTTGGAAAACCTGTGTCCTTGCTCTGTGATTCACTAAAAGTTCTCCTAGTGATAGAACCAAGTATGTTTGAGACAATCATGAAAGTTTTGCAGATTCTGAACTTCCCTTAACGTGTTTTAGTTGTATTATCTGGTTGAGGTGTGTCATTTCTAACTTGCAGGGCTAGCTAAAGAGACATTTGTATATTTTTCTCATGTTTGCTTTCTTATAGTAATCATCTTGAGAGTATCTACAAATTGTATCTGGCAGTCAGAAACGTAGTCTATGTTGCTGCACCTTCTGGACTAAATTGCCACAGTTCTTCTGTTAATTTTCAGGTTGCTCTTCAGATTTTGAGTTCAGTGTGGAAGTTAGGTTTTATTTTTCACTGTAGTCAAAACTTGTCATTCTGTTTCTCCTGTTAAAGAATATTTTGATCCTTGTCTGCTATATGAGCAGGTTTTGCTTGCTATGTTGTTCTTCTAAATGAAATGTTTTGTGGAAGAATAGTGTATTAGATATAAAAAGGCTTGTGATCAGCTGATGATAATGTTTTATATTAGATTGTCAGAATTATTGTTTACTTTTAAGGAAAGTGTAGGGTTTTTTCAGCACATGAATGTGTTGTAGTATTTGTTTTTATCTAGGATTTTGTAAATGTATTGAGATTTGCAAATCCAGGGCATTTTGCCTGATTTAATATTTTGTGCTTGTTTTCCTGAGACAAACAGGAAAAGGCTTAGGCAAATCACTTGGAGTACATGGGTTGATGTAGAAACTTTTGAGCAATGAAAGAAGATTGGAAGCTAGATTGGAAGCTTTTAGTGTTAAATGATTCTGAACCAGTGGAGACTGTTTATCCCAGTGATGAGCTACCTATTGTCCCTTGTTCTCTCATCCCCATTTATAGCATGGAGGTAAGCATGTTTTCCTGTGACAAAAAATACATTAAACAACTGTAATGTGTAATTGTGGTGATGTGAATCATAGAAATCACTGTGCTTGATGTGACTGTGTATCTTGTTTCTGGAGGTGCGGCATCTTAAAGGATCTGTTTGCTCTTCAGTAGGAGTAGTAGTATTAAGAATAGGGTAAAAGGTACTATAGACTTGAAACTTACTGGAGGAAAAAATCAGATCCTTTTTGTTACTACTTGCCTTTACAGCCAGGTATGTGAGTTCAGCAAGCTCAGTGGAGCTTTTTCAGCAGTTTACATGCACATCTGCATTTAAATGGTTCTTGCAACTGGATTTTTGTGATACTAGATGCTTGAATACCCAACTGTTCCCGGCACATTGCTGTTTCCTTTGATTGCAGTTGCCTTTATATATCTTAGATATGTATGCACGTGCACACGCACATGCTAGTAATTTATTTGCTCCGTGTTAAATGTTCAAAGGCTGGCAGAGACATGCATTGCATAAAGGAGCACAGCAGTATTCCTCAGTTATGTGGTGCTCCCACTGATACCCTGATGAGGTAAAACTTTCAGACCACCACATGAATAAGGAGTGTTAGGGAATGCCAGAGACAGGAAAAGACACATGTTCACAATTTATAAGAGCCACAGAAGCAAAAGTGACAAGAGTCAGGCATAGAGCCTGCTTTTCTGGTTGGAAACTTCCTTGAGTTGGAAGTAACACTAATTTAACGTGATCCAATAAAGTCCAAAATTATCTGTGGGCTGGGGCAGGGCTGTGTTTTCCTTTCTAAATGAAGAGTATTGACCCCTTGCTGGGCATTATTGTAATGGGTAAAATTAGGAAGCATTTTCTGTATAACAGTTGATATGTGCTCATGCATACAGAGTTGTGAGCTTGATTACAGAAGATGAAGAGCTACATATGCCTCTTAACTGACAAAGATGCTAAGTTCTGTTATAACATATCTGTATTTTAGGCACTGGAATGGGCTGTCCAGGGAGGTGGTAAAGTCCTCATCCCTGGAAGTATTAAAAAAATGTGTAGATGTGGCACTTCAGGGCATGCCCTTGTGGGCAAGTTGGGTGGTGTTGTGGTGGTGCTTGTGGATTTGGTTTTCTTGTTCTGTTTTGTTTTGTTTTCCTCCTGGGTGGATGGTTGAACTCAGTGATCTTAGAGGTCTTTTCCAACAATAACGTTTCTGTGATCTGTGTTTAAGAAAAAACTGTGTTGTCTTTTCTGAGTTTTTCTATGCATTTTTTTCAGTCATGCATTTCTGCATTTTGGGAGTGTGACTTTTTTTTATTATCAATATTCCTATGTCAGCTTATGTGTTGGCAAAGTAGATATTGCAACTTAGTGCCCTGGTTTTGGTTGTGTTTACTCTCACCGGCTTCCAAAATGCAGCCCCACCTCCCTGTAATGCCATTGCATTTCATGTGGAACCCTTGATACCTCAAGACTGTCAACTAGGATTGTATTTTTCCCTCTGCTTCTGGGTTACAATAATTTCTGTAATTGCTCTCAGGTGGCAGTTTGAATGATGCAGACATTCTGTGCTTGCTTTCAGGAATTTGACTAATGCGCTGGTCCCTGGTGCATGACAAAGCTCTATCACAGGCATCTTCATGGTTACATGCTGCTAAATACACAGTACATATTGATTTTTACATTAAAAATCCTTTATAAGTTTTAATGCTTCTTCACAATTTGGTCTTTAGAACATAGGCCTTAACATTAAATCCAGAAGTCACAGTTGGGATTTAGCAAGCTGTTATTAGATGTCTTGGTAGCTAACTAATCTGGAGATTTATTTTATTTAGATTTCTATGATGTTTTACAGATCAGAGGCAGATAATCCTTTCTAATTGCCAACTTATTCCATTCTGAATATTAAGAGATAAGCAAGAGTCCAATCTCCTGGAGGAATCAGGAATTCTCACATAAGTGAACATCTTTTAACAGTTGAGTTTTCCCTACTACCCTTTCGTTCTTGGTTCCCATGTCTCTCATTTTTCCCTTGTAACTGTAAATCCTGTTGTGACCAAACTAGGTATACCTAGTGTAACTAGAAATTATTTCTCCTGTTGGTAGTAGGAGAAATAGAAATGCATATACTTTCTCTTTTCATTTCTCTTGGGTAGCTGATAAGCTGAATTATGTATGAGTCATATTGAACATTTCTATCTTTTTTCCAATTATGACCTGAAGCAGCACAGCAGTATGTTCCTGCCTGCCTGGCAGAGGAGGGAAGCAGTGCAAGGAGGGGAGAGCTGGAATCAATAAGCTGACACACATTCCCAAGAAAAGCCTTGGGGACAGTTAGTGGCACTAACAAATGAATAAATATATTATTCAGTGGTAATGTTGAGAATTACAGAGCTTTTAAAATAGAGAGATTACATTAAATGTGAGTAGGAAGGATGCCAGCATGGAAGAACGTGGCAGCAGGCTGATTGCAGGAGTGTCTACATGGTGTCCTTCCTGAAGGCTTATTGTGTGTTAAGCACTGAGGCTGCATTAGGAAAGGTGGCAATAACAGTGTTTGACTCTGTACATTGAAGTTTACCTTCAGTCTGTGGTGTCCCAAAGTCCCCACCCAACAGGAAGATAGGGTAAAAGTCTTGAAGGTACAGGGAGGAGTATATCTACTCTTTGGAAAAGGAGTGAGGCTTAGCTACAAAGTTTACTGTCAGTCCCTTCTCTCAGGACTTTCCAACTTGGGCATTTGGTTGTAGGTTTTGATTTCCAGAATTGGAAAGCTGTTTAATTGTAACACGTCCTTGGCTGCTCTGCAGGCAGTCTCTTTTCACTCCCCTGTAACCCAGAGCATAATCATATCCAAGTGACACTGAATATATTCAGAGTTTCATTTCCCTTTGTTTTTAAGTAGGTTAAATGGAAATGAAAATACTATCTCCAATTTCCATTTCCAGCACAGATCTATGCAAATCCCCTATGCCCCTACCCCAGACTTCTAATCAAGTGGCAGGTAAGTTACCTGCCTGGAGAGTGCTGCCAGGCTCCACACAGGAGAGAGCAGCTCCTGGTAAAAAGGACAGCTGAAAGATACGGGAATGGGTTTACACACTGGATTTCAGTCTCAATGTAACTTTGCAAGTTAAGTTTCACTGGCTGGATTCACCCTGTCAGAAGTCAGGGAAGTTTTGGTGTATTTCAGCAGAGCCCTAGAAAGTTTCTGAGCACAGCAGTTGTCCCGGGGTGGGAAGCACCTCCACTTTATCGTAATTTGCTGTCTACTGAACCATGTCATGAGCTTAATTTCTTTCACCATCTGCCAGCTGCATTCCAGTTCCTGGGGTTACCCTATATGAAGTGCTGTAAATGATAAACATTTGACTGTTACAAATTATTTTTGTGGAGAGCTAGATCTCAGAAGGCCTGAAACAATATGCTCTTTTTGCAAACACTCTTCTAAAACTGATTTTGTCATTGGAATAGTAAACAGAACTTAGCTATGTTTAATCCTTATATATGTTTGGTTAGTTACAAAAGGATCAGTTGGATCATTGTACTTTGGCTCATGTTTGTCTTCATTGCTTTTGCATCTTTTTGCCAAGAAGAGTTTCTAGCAATGTGTTACAAAATTGAAACAATTACAGAAGGGAAATTGAATCCATTTGGATGTGCTCATTCTGATTGTGTCAATGAATTAAGGCTCCCCATACCCTCCTGTTATTGGTAGTATTCTCTTCATGTCTCTGGTCAGGAGAGGATGGGTCTTTCCTCTACATGTTTCATTTTCATTAACTGTTCCAACTTCATTTGGTCTCTGCTTAGGAAGAGAAACTGCTGTGATGGCAGAGATTCTACTCCTGTTCTTTGCTCTCTGCACAATGAATCCAAGTGATGCTCTCTTTCTGCATGAGGCAGGCAGTTAATGGACCCCTGTAACTACTGTTTTTCCTAGAGCTGCAGCACAGTGAGCCTCCATGTGCTTCACTGCTTAGGGAAATGTCCTGCAATACAGTGATG